AGTGAAGGAAGTTTGCTCGAGAAATCAAGCTCCTACGTGCGTTTTCTGAGGGGAAAAAAGGAAAAGGAAGGAAAGAAGTGTAGCATTCGTTACTTTTTCATTTGTCTCTGTGATTGTGTTACCGAACGTTACATCAGAAACTTGCAGACCTTTTTGCCTAATGAATCATACTCGACCCTGTTTAATGTCACGGGGAATTTTCTCGGGTATGGAACACGTTCATTAACCATTTACTTCATTGGGAAAAATATCGATTAACGAAACTCAATTTGAGACTACGTAATAAGTTTTCAGATTTTTTCGCGGGCTTCTTTTTATCAATCATCGTGAACGATATGCGGTATAATTGCAGCAATTAATATGAATTATATATACGTGGATATTAGAGTCTGGGGATAATTACTTCTCTGATTACACGTTTCGATATTGAAATTGATAGGATCGATATCTAGATCAGATTCTTGTTAAAAGAAGTCGCCCGTATAATAGGAACTTTAACTGTGCTAGGAGAGAGAATGTTAGGCGCCTACACAACGAGAGACAGTGATGTAGAAACTATTGTACACGGGATTCTTTGCACTGCTATAATAATTTTCAATTACGCTGTTCCTTCAGCGAATAATTGTATGTATAATTTTGTCGTAAATAATATATTGTAATTATGATACTCTGAATAATTTTTTACTATCACAAAATTTACCAGTCAATTTTTATTCGATAATTATTCAAATAAAGGATGATAAATTATCAGTGCTTAGCAACTCGTTATTTTCACTAACCTTCAATTGTACTATTTCTTCGGTGAATAATGATACGTATAATTTTCATACTCGGAATATTTTGAAAAATAATTCTTTATCGTTACAAAAATTTCTAGTCGATTTTCGGGTGATAATTAAGAAATTAACGAAGGATAAATTGTCACTGCTTGACAACTCTTTATTTTGATTGATTTTCCATTACACTGTTCTTTCAGAAAATAATTTTGGTATAACTTTGATACTCAGGATAATTTGAAAAATAGTTTTCAATATTGCAAAAATTACTAGTCACTTTTTACGAAATAATTTGAAAAAAATTGAAAAGGGATAAAAAACTTAAAAGAGGATAAATTATCACTGCTTAACGACCCTTCATTTTCACTAATTTTCAATTACGCTATTATTTCAGAAAATAATTTTGGTATAACTATGATACTCAGAATATTTGGAAAAATAATTTTCAATGTTGCAAAAATTACTAGTCACTTTTTCCGAGATAATTAAAAT